TTTTGCCTTATTTTTATTTTTGAAAATTTGTAATTAATGGTTGACATCCCTAAATCAGTTAAAGGAAGAAACACTGTTGATTGTTTCCCTTCCACTAACTCCTTTAGAGTTATAAGTTTCTTTTTAAAGCAAATATCTTTTTCAAATTAAAAATAGAACTTTGAAATTGAGATATTTTCTATCTTCCAACAGTAATCTATCTTATATGAATAATATTTAAAGTCATTAAATCACTTTCAAGCTTTTCTTGATCAAGTACTTGCATTTATCATATGAATATGATTCTTATTTGTGGTTTATTCTTTATTATATTAGAGAATGAGGTTTTCTTATTTATTATCTGAAAGATATTCTCACAATTGAGAGTCTTTAAATGTTTTGAAAGGGAGCTAGCTCACAAAAATGACAAGAGGCATAAAATGAACCCAAAAAAAAAGTGAAAAGATGCACAATGATCGCCAAAAAATTTTGAAAGATACAAAAAGTGTATCAAAAATTAAAAGATGCACAAAGTGCGCCAAACAATTGACAAGAGGCACAAAATGATCCCACAAAAATTGATCTTCTTTCTCTTTCAAACCATTAAGTCTTAGAATAATTCATATGTCACTTGATATATTCAATCACTTTATTTTTGAAACCCTTAATTTTAACTAATTACTTTAGTACATTACTCTATCAGATATGTTTTCTGGAATGAAGTGTTGAATAGATCACTTTTCTAGCTAATTTTCTTTTTGAGTTAGATTTTTGTTTTTAAAAGATTTTTAGCCTGTAGGGAATTTGAGCTGGGGATAATATAATCAATTTTTCTACCATTTTTCATATTTCAGTGAAGTTAACTCATTTCTTACAAATTTTTAATTCAATCACATGGAAATTTATCATATTCTTTCTTTGATGAAAAAAAAACTTTGTTTTTCATTCTTTTTCTCGTTCTTATCATCTTTTCATTATGTTCTATTTTGATGTTTTTTTAGTGTGTTTTTGTACTGCTGTTAGTTTTTGGATTGTATTTTCTGCTTTGTCTTTCATTTCTATTTCCTCCTTTTTGTGATATCAAAAGGGGGAGTAGTGGTAGTGTTAGTGGTTAGTGTTATTTTGTTGTATTGATGTTTTTTGTACTACTATTGTTTAGTGTTTGTACCACCTATTTCTTTTTAGTAAACCCTGTATTACTTGATTCATATTGTTCTTCTTTACTTTATGTTTCATTAATTTTCTTGAGTTGAATTTTGTAACAGATGATTGACATCATAAAAAATGGGGAGATTGTTGCAAACCTAGATTCAATGATTATAATTTTGATAAAAGCAAGCATTTCTGACATTTCTATTTCTCTACTATTGCCCTTCCTTCTAACATTTTAGGTCTACAAGGTCAATTGAAAATCAAGCCAGCTCAAGATTGGGTAGATTATGATTGAGTTAGTCAGTAAGTGTAATTCCAGTGTTTTTACTTTTTCTTGAGTCAAATGTAATAATGTGGATCTTGATGCTAAGTAACCTTGCACACACACACTCAAGGGGAGAAATTCTATAGTCTTAAGTGGTTTTTTTATTTGTGATAATATCCTAAAGGACGATCTAAACATAATCTTGGACTATGAGTTAAAAAATAGAAACCCTAATTAGGGCTCCTTAGTTAAGATGGCCGAATTAAGAAAATCATCCTTGACGATATTTACTTCGTTCTGGATGATAGGCTCAAAACAGATAGAATCAGCAGCCAAACTATTTATATTATTTTTAGAAATAGTACAGGACAATTCCATATCATCTTGAACAATTCATTACAATCATGCCTAAATTAGTCAAGTGATTAAGGAAAGCAATTAAGGTTTGATTGATCTATCATATCGTCCTAGATGATTGCAAGATCGTCCTGGATGATCCGTTAGGGAAGCCTTAGTCTTCTCCTGGATCACCTAGACGACCAGAATGATATGCTGGACGATCAGTTGAAATTCTCCATTGTCAAGGTGTATCACCTGGACGACCATAACGATGTGTTGGATGATAATCCATGATTTTAAATTAATCATACGTGATGATTCAAGAATCGTCCTGGATGATAAGTTATATTTCTTCATCGTCTAATATATATCACATGGACGACTAGAAGGATATGTTGAACAATAATCCTTGATTTTCAACTAATCGTATGGGATGATTCAAGAATCTTCCTGGACAAAACATTATATTTGTTCATTGTCCAACAAATATCTTTTGGATGACCAGAACGATGTGTTGGACGAGATGTATGGTTTTGAACTAATTGTACAGGACGATATCTACATCGTCCTTGATGATCAGAACAAGAAAGGCTTCTAATTGTCCAGCCTCCCTAAATCATCCTAACCGAAAGGGATGAAAGTACACTGATCGTACTGGATGATCTTTTGATCATCTTGGACTATCTTTGACGGCAAGTTGCAAATTAGGAAAAAATTTAAGCCCTTTGTTATAAGATCTCTTGTTTATTCAAGGTGAAATCTTTTGCTAATGTCCTGAGCTTAGAGAGCCAAGAGAAGGAGAGGGAGATCATGGTAGAGAGATAAAGGATCTTGTGAGGGGGACTTTGTGAGGGGTTCACAATGGTTGCTCCAAGCAAGGATCCGAGTCGTCTTCTCCAGTTGTCATCCTTGGTTCCTTAGAGGCTCTAGGGAGGTCTTCTTCAGCAATCTATTAAGTTTTTGTGTCTGCTTCAGGAGGAAGCAAAAGGAGGTCGGGTTCTCTGCCTCATCGGGGTCGGTGGAAAGGAGTTTGTAAAGGTTTCTCCGCCTTGCTATGGGAGTAAAAGGAGAGTCACTGAGTTTTAGTGCAATACCTAGAGGAGAGGCTCCGGGGAGTGGACGTAGGTCAAGTTGACCGAACCACTATAAAATTTAATGTGCTCTTTCTTATTACGTGTTTTTTTCATTTTAATTTCTGCACTTTATTTTCATGTGGATGATTGTATGGTTTAATGTTTTAAAATAATTCAAAAAGATTGTGCTTTTTGTTTAAGGATTTTTAAAACTACCAATTCCCTCCCCCCCCCCTGGTTAGCCTCGGGCTAGTTCATAAGGGCTTAATAACGAACTTTCATCATGTGCTAAGAATGTATATAAATGACGAGTGTTTCTCCACTGGCTCAAGGAGCGAAGGAGTTTAGCTTGCAATAACTTATAGTGGAATCCTAAGTAACGAGCATATTGAGACATAAATATAGGTCGGTTGAGTGTTGAATCATATATATATGTTCCATATGATATCTTTTCTTTCTTAGTTTTATGTTTTACATATTTATGTGATGATATATGCTTAAAACTATCACATATTATAATTATTGAGTGGATTATCTAATTTTGTTGAAACTTGTAATACACTTTCTTGGCATTTTCTGTATAGTATCACCATGCATATTGTATGGACACTAATTTTTTTCTTGTAGCATTGGTGTTTAGGGATTTGATTGCTTTAGCTAGTGTAATTGAATAGCTCAAATATGTTGAGCTTGATAGTAATAGATGCAATCACTTGCATTATCATTTAAATAACTAATTATTTACTTTTCCGGATTCATACTTGCATAGTTGATTTAATTGATTATAAGTTCATATGGTAATATTCTTAGATGTAATATTATATCAATTGTACACTTACATGTTAGCCTGACACACTTTGCGCACCTTGGCACCTACAATTGCAGGCTTGTGTGCGTCTTTAGTGGATATATTTTATTAATTATTTATTCTTTTGTTTCATTCTTGATTATGGGAGTTTTGAATTGTTAGAATTTAGGAAGAAAATTCTAAAGTGCCTGTGTACACCCAATTCCCATTCCCCTTCTTTTCTAATTTGGCTTTTCGCTAACAACATTTTGGGGAAGCAAAGCAGAATTAGTTTCCAAGCTACAGTACAAAAATTTGATACAAATTCAAACACGAGATGATAGAAAGACTTCAAGTGATCAAGTTTTCATTATACGGTCTATCACAATGCTATACTATACCACTACAACATTAATGAAGCGGACAGAACCACCTCAAGGTTATGATTTTAGTACACAATGCACATTCAGGATCAGCAGCACCACTTCATAATGTAACAATTTTTGCAACATAGAACTTCAGTAGGTTTTTTGAAGGGCTTTCCGAGTCTAGAATACAATTTTATCACTGTATTCCTTTTTGTTTATCCATCGGAGCTCTCATTTGGCTTTGCATTCATAATAACTTTTCTCCCACATCTTCTTGTATGCATGAAATTGGTGATGGAATTTGAGGCAGCATTATTTTATTTAGATAGTTACAACTTATACTAGAGGAAGATCTGATATGTTTACGCTTTGTTATAGTTGCAGCTTTTTATTCTTAATTTTAAATCAAATCCTGATCATCATCTGAGACGTTTGACATCTAATTATGAGGCTGAAAATTACATCATGAAAGTTTTAGTCAATTTTATTTATCATTACTGAGTAAAAAAACAATTTAAGTTATTTTTGTTCTGGTTTCCAATATTAATGATGCAATTGTTTACAATAAATGAAATATGCAATGTAGTGTATTATGTTTAGCAATCACCATTTTTATCATCATTTCCATTGTTTGGGCTTGGCTTAATGAATCGTCTTTTTTCATTATAACAGATTCAATTAAAGATAATTGACTATAAACACAAACTATGGAGAACCAAATACCAGGTTATCTGCTATTTGAGTAACTGGATATTTGTGCCAGTAGATTCCCAACTGCTTCAATTTGAGAGAATCCTTCTCCAAGAAAGAAAAACTTGTGGAAATCTGAATGGATATTGGTCGTCATCAAGAAATGGATAAACATAACTCTTCCTTACTCTGGCATGAAAATCCATGGAATGCTAATCAAACGAGATTCTGGGTGATATTTTTTGCTTTTCATAATAGAAAGAATCTTGCATTATAGACCACCATTCACTTAAATTCTTTTCCATCTATAAATAGGCCCAGCAAGTGAAACATTGATATCCATCTCATCAAAATATTTTTCCTTCAATTTAAACAAGCATGGATTACTCTGACCTTAGGCGTCAGGCTGCCTACATGAAGAAGAGTTTATTTGATCAGGTTGGCCAGACACGTCAAATAAATCACTACTAGCTTGCCAAGATTCTAAATTTGTAAATCATGGTTTCTTAACAATCAACAAATTCTTCCTAGTGATTTTTTTTTATTATTGTTAAGAAAGAATTAATATACTAGCCTCCCAAAGCACTTTAAGGTTTTCCTGGTGATGAATCTCATTCAACAAAGAATGCTAAGCTTTTTAATGGTTCCTCTTTTCCTTCATCATAATCCATGACTGCAGAACCCTTGAGGTTTTGTAGGCAGAATGTTTGAACTTTGATTCGACAATTATCTTCAAATACTTTTGTTGATCAAGTTCAACGCGTTAGTACAACAACATGAAGCCTTTGTCCCACTACGTGGGGTTGGCTTACTAAATTTTAAAATTTTTGTTTCCTTATTTATTTGCTATAATCTAATTTAATGATCAAGATAATGGTTCTCCCTTTATTCTGTCTAATTTCAGATCAAGATAATATTTCCATATTGGAGCACCATTAGCTATAGTATCCCTTCCCATAAATTGAAAAAAACAAAGGTGCCGTCTCTTGCAATTTTGTTTCTCATAAACCAGCACGTTGACAGCTAGACAGCAACCTAATGTACACTTTGATCATAATTATTCAGCAATATTTGATTAATGGATGCATATTTTTTTCATTTTTATCGTACATAAAACTTTCAGTAATTCGAATTTCCAGACCAAATAAAAAAAAAACATTTACCAACGAATTGATGCCTTAGGCCCTAAATTTTGATCAGACTGTGTAAGTAATAGTTTTCACTAATGTTTGAACCTATGTAACTTTGTTAATACTTCAGTTTTATTAATGGAATATTAAGCTATTGCAGGGATACTTGGATGAACAATTTTATCAGCTGGAAGATTTGCAGGATGATGTTAGCCCAAATTTTGTAGAGGAAGTAGTCACTTTGTTTTTCAAGGACTCATCTAGGCTTCTTAGCAACATCGAGCAAGCTCTGTAAGAATAAATTTTAAAAAATCATTAAAGGTCTCGTTTACCTAGTAGCTTAATTCTGGGCAATATTTGTAATACAATGATACAGGGAAAAGAATTCACCAGATTTTCAGAAGCTGGACTCTCTTACGCATCAGTTAAAAGGAAGCACTTCCAGGTATTTAGCTATAAACCTGAATGAAATTCGTTTGTTTAAGGCTTCGTTTGGGATGCCTTTCTTATTGCTTCTTAAAGCATCTTTTAAATTTAAATATTAATTTTTTTTATACGAAAAAGTTGTTTTAAGGAGCAGTAATAAAGCTGTCCCAAGGCTTCATTTGGAACTACTTTTTTGTTGCTTCTTAAAGCAGCTTTCTAATATAAAAATTTTAATTTTTGTTCCAAAAAACTGCTTTAAAAAGCAACAAAAAATCCATCCAAACAAAGCCTAAGGCAATAACATATGGATTAGAAAATTTGATACTTTGGCTTCTCACAGCATCGGAGCTCTTAAGGTGAAGAATGAATGCACATTGCTAAGAGAATACTGCAACAAAGAAAATCTGGACGGGTCTGTCTCCTTCAACATTTCGTTGATCAACTGATTGGTTGTGTTGGTACATCTCCTATACTGTTTTTAGGTATAACAAATCTAACATAACTATGGCATATAGCTGCTTTAGGACATTCCAGAAAGTGAAGAGGGAGCATGCTATTCTTAGGCAGAAGCTGGAGGCATATTTCCAGGTTATGACCTGCAACATTTATCTTCTTTTCTGTGTTTTTTGTTTTATTTTCTTTCATATTGCAGATTTTTGGGAAGCCTACTTCAAAAGCGCTGCCTTTATAGCGCTTTTCTTTCATGATGCTTTTCTTGTCTACCTTAGAGGGCTAGTACAGAATAATGATTAGATTTATCCTATTAGACTTAAGGAAATGGGTTAAAAAGCAAAATCCAAATTTATTATTTAGAACAAAATAACAGCAAATAGAAAAAGAAGATCAACACATAAAACATGCCAATAAATTTATACAAGTTCACCCAATTTAATAATTTTGTACAACTTCATCCAATTTATGGCCAAGTTCTATTGCCCTTACTATAGATTATATTATAGTTTTAATTGTACAAAATTATGACCTTTCTCTCATAGATAAAATAAAGATAATGCATACTCTTTATAAAGGCAAAATAGAGCAATTGAGAACCATCGAGACATCTTAATGAAAATATTCACAAATAATAGATACCCAAGAAGGGAGCCAAATAGAATCTTCCACCTCTCACAATGACTTTCCTCTAAGGTCGAGCCGTAATTAAATTTATGTAGTATGTTGTTTTCATAGGATAAGAATTATACTCCCTAACATTACTCAAATCATGAGATGGCCTCAAAATAAGATACCTTATCTAGTTCATCACTATATCCAACATTAACAGGTTTTATGAATTAAATAGCCCCTTCTCTAAAACTGTATTCCAACTTCAATTTCAGGGGAAAAAGTCATCATGAATTTTACCATCAATCAAACTTGAAATATGCTCATTTATCTTGCAATATTTTTTGTGTGTGTGTGTGAACCTAACCGAGTCATCGGAAGGCCGTTATTTTATGTGACCAAACCATCTAAGGCGACTCTCTCTAATCTTATCCTCCACTGGAGCTACTCCAACCTTTTCACATATATGCTCATTTCGCATCATGTCTCTAAGAGTAAAACCACTCATCCACCTGAGCATCCTCATCTTTGCAACACTTAACTTAATATTATGCTTCTCTTTTATTGGCAAACAATATGCACCATAAAGCATTGCAGCACCATCTTATAGAATTTTCCCTTAAGTTGGAGCGGTATTTTTTTATCATACAACAACCCCAATGGAATCCTCCACTTCATCCATCCAACTTGAATTCTACTAATAATATACCCAACTATTTTACTATCACTCTTTACAATAGACTCAAGATATCAAAAATGTGTACTTTTATTGATGACTTTATCGCTCAAAGTCACAAACCCCCCACTAGATATATTATTATTAAAATTACACTTCATCTATTTGATTTTAGATCTACTCAAACGAAAACCTTTAGACTCTACGGTTGACCTCCATAATTCAAGTTTATATTCAACTCCCTCTTTACTCTTATCAATAAGAAGAAAATCGTCAACAAAAATCATACACCAGGAAACATCCTCTTGCAAATCTCTAGTAAGAACATCCATAAGTAAAGCAAAAAGACATGGGCTTAAGGTTTATCCTTGGTGTAATCAAACTGAAATTGAAAAATACTTGATCAAACTAATGTGTTTGAACACAAGTAACGTCTCCAACATACATATCCCTAATGACTTGAATATAAGCATTATTAATCCCTTTCTTTTTTAGAACTCTCCATAGAACTTCTCTTGACACTTTATCATAAGATTTCTCTAAATCAATAAATTTCATATGAAGATCTTCCTTTTTCTCTGTATACTTCTCCATCAAACCTCTTAATAAATGCATGGCTTCCATACTAGACCTACCCAGCATGAATCCAAATTGATTTTGAGAAGCATTAGTATAACGTTGTAACCTATGCTCCATAACTCTCTCCCATAGTTTTAAAGTATGACACATCAACTTAATTCCTCTATAATTTACACAATCTTGTGTATCACCTTTATTCTTAAAGATAGGAATCAACACACTCATTCTCCACATATCTGACATCTTTTTAGTCTTCAAAATAATATTAAAAATTTTAGTAAGTCGAGAAATTCCTTCATCTCCTATGCATTTCCACACCACTATTGGAATATCATCAGGTCCAACAGTTTCCCACCCTTCATTTTCTTTAAAGCTTCTTTAACTTCAGTTTTAATAATACGTCAATAAAAACAAAAATCTTTATTTTCATTTAGAGTGTTAAGGTTACTAAAATAAATCGTATTTTCACAATCTTCATTGAAAAGCTTAGTAAAATATCTCGTCAACCTTTGTTGAATATCCTCTTCAAAAAAAGGTACTTTTTGATCTTCATTCTTAATGCACTTCACTTGAACCAAATCCTTACTACTCCTATCTCTTTGTTTGGCTAGCTTATACATAAATCTTTCACCCTCTTTAGTATCTAATCATATATATAAATCATTAAAAGCTAAAATTTTTCATTGCATTATGTTTTCTTAGACTTCTTACGGGGCAACTTTATATCTTTCCCAATTTTCAGAATTTTTATATTCAAACTAATTTTTATAATAGAAAATCTTATTTTTTTTAATTTTTTCTCGCACATTTTGATTTTACCACCAATTATTTTTACTATTAGAAGCTTTTCATTTTGATACTCCAAGCACATACTTTGCAGCATTATTAATATTATAAGCTACTATTTCCAACATAATATTAGTTTCCTCATGTACTAACAAAATCTTAAGATCGTGAATCTTACTCACAAAGATATTTTTGTTAGAGTGTTTTAAATGCAATCATCTAATCCTAGAACAACGATATACTATATTTTTCACTCTTCTCATTCATCTTAAAATCCAAAACTAATAAGCGGTGTTGGGTACATGAATTTTCACTCGGAATAATTATACAATCTCTACAATCTAAACGATCTATTTTCTTATAAGAAAATAATCAATATAAGTTTTACTATATCCATTTTCATAAGTGATGAAATACTCATCTCTTTTCTTAAATATTAGAAATGACCTTTCTTTATTAGATCTAAATGAGAATATGACTCTTAGCCGGATACAATGGAGAAAAATGAGTCATGTATTCGACCCCACGTAGTAGAATAAAGGCTTGTTGTTGTTGTTGTTGTTGTTATTGTTGTTGTTAGATGTTTATGATGTAAAATTAAAGTTTTCACATAGGTTTTCTCTGGTAAATTTCATGTTAACACTTACATTATGAAATAAAAAATGCAAATTTAACACCAATTTTCCAATGTATGAAGAAAACTGTAGGCAACATCACCTCACACTCCTATAGCTTACATGATATGCCCTGGAAAGTAGCCTGCTGCCAACTACATTGCACAAAACATGTATTGATAGGTCTAGCAAAGTCATTATGTTTGAATAAGCAGACTGGACTAAAAACTATTTTTCTTCCATTTGGCTTTCTTCAATAAACTATACCTAATATTGTTTTAACTTTCCAAATGTTACTGAAAAGATGCTTCTTTGTTACAGCTGCTGCGACAAATTGGGCCAGCTGAAGGCGCTAGCCGACCTGTCATTTAAGGAGTCCAAGTTTTCTTGTTCTCACTTCAATGATAAAAAGCAATGTTATTGCAGAATTATGCATATAGACTTTGTAACGCAGCTGAAAAGCTTATATATGTAGCCTATCGGTGTCTGAATTACTATCTTTAATCATCAGAAGTTTCTAATGCTAGTAATCTACTAAAATTTCATGGTTGCAATGACATCTATTTATTTCAATACATTGTATATGTATGCGGTTATCAAAACTCTGTTCATTACCGGAGCATAACTAAATCTTTAAAAAAGCCCCTCTCTTGCTCGTAAGTAGCGTGTAGTTCCCTTGTTCAATTAGGATTGCTCTTGCAATGGCAATCCGCTGCTTTCGGCCTCCTGATAGCTGCAGCACTCTCCCACCACAATGTGTGCCATATCCCTCTCTTAATGCACTTAAACAACCTATATCAATAAGTTATTACTGTCTCTGATTATTAAGAATTTGCCTTTTTCTTATATAATATAAGTTAGGAAGATCATATGACATGAAATCATGTGCATTTGCTCCTCTTGCGGCCTCCACGATCTCATCCTCACTAGCGTCAGGCTTTCCAAAGCTGATATTGTCTCGGATGCTACCTCAAAATATAACAGGTTTGCAAAGAGCTGAACAGAGAAGAAACAGCTAATGGAACATTTGGCTTTACCTGAGCAGAAGAATACACTTGCAGAAAATCTGTATTGTCCAGCGGTAGGAGAAAAGCATAGTAAAAGCAGTAAAAGCTGTCCCATTACACAGTGACTAGAGTCTATATAAAGAAGTGTAGAGGGTAGGGTGAGTGCATACAGTCACTCTTGACTTTACAGGTAAGGTAAAGTAAGATATTTCGCTAGCCTATACATAGGTTAGGTTGTAAAATATTTTAGGCCACATAGCTCATCTTAGCCTGTTGGTTGAGAGCTTAGGCTTTCAACTAAGAGGTCTTGGATTCGAGTCTTTGTGTATGAGTTGTGTGTGATGATATCATTTTCATCTATACAAGCTCAGCAGAGATCTAGGGATGCATGTACTCTGAATCACATCTATAATCACATCTATAATTAAGATTCTTATTAGAGAAAAAATAATCGGAGCACTAGGAGGTCGCGAACGCTCTGCTAGGATTTTGGCGGGGTTTTGCTTCGCGCCGCCTCTTTCGTTTGGGGAGGGGCCTCTTCCCCTCCCCTCTTCGCCTCCGATGGCGTCATCCTCCTACTCTACAGACTTTCCTCCGCTTCTTGGCTCCGGTACTACTGCGCTCTCCGCACTTCCCGGTCTCGACTTCATCGGAAATCTTACAAAACAAGACCCAGTGGCAAATGATTTTACCCTTTCCTTCTTCTCTCCAACTGCTAAATTCCTTTTACGGATGATGATCTCTCACGTGGTGTTCCTGACTGGGGTATGTCGCTGGTTGGTTACTCGGTTGGTCCCCGTCCAGCTTACATGAGTCTCTTGAATACCATCAAGAAGGTTTGGGCTCCTAAAGGCTCGGTTGAACTTTTATCCTTAAACGATGGCTTTTTCCTTTTCAAATTTACTTTTGCGGACGATTTTTAGGCAGCATGGTCTGGTGACCCATGGTTTTTTTTCGGCCGCCCGTTCATTCTACAAAAATGGTCTCCTAAATTCATGCCTAAGAGGGATGAATTTCTTAGGCATGAATTTAGTGCCATTCCTATATGGATTAAAATTGTCGATTTACCACTGGCGGTCTGGAATCCAATCGGTATCTCAAAAATCGCTAGCTTTGTTGGCCAACCGTTGGCGGTTGATGCTTTAACGGCCCGTAAAACTCGATTGACGTTTGCTCGGGTTTGCGTCTTGGTTTCTAGTAAGTCGAGTTTTCCGGATGTTATTCCTGTTTCTCTAGATGGTGATGATATGGAACTCAAGGTGGTGTATGACTGGAAGCCAACCCCTTATTCTGGCTGTGGATCCTTGGTTCATCCTCCAAACCTCCCCCAAAAATCCTCAATCCAAACCTCCCCCAAAAATCCTCAATCCAAACCTCCTTTTCCTCAACAATCTCGAGGGAGAAGCAAAAGTAGAAACTGTCAAAATAAACTATTACCTCCACCTAATTTACCGTCTGCCCTGCCTCCCAAGCCTTCTGATCATCATTTAATCCGATCATCCACCACTATCTTACCTAATCCCCCTGCTCTATCCACTGTTGACACCACTATTGTGTTGGTTCAATTACCTACTCCTTATGTTTTACCCATTGTTGACAATCCTATGGTGCCTACTCAGGTTGATGCGCTTCATGCTATGCCTCCTCCTGGTATGGAACCTGCTTCTCAACCCGAACCCATTCCTAACCTTAACTCCCCCTCCGGCAATACCGAAGCTATTGATTTCTTCTCTCATGATGATCCTGACCCTTATGAGACTCGTTTCGTTCCTGCTCATTCCCACTCTCGGGATAACACAGGTAAATTTTCTGTGGCCAAATCTCAGCAAAAACCAACCTGGCTTCAGAATCCTCCTCCCACAACATCCTCTTCACCGAATAAGTTTGCTATTTTACAAGCAGATGATCCTCCTGACATTGTTGAACCTTCTGAATCCTCTTCAAGTTTTCCTTACCAAAATTTGGAAGAGCCTCCTGACAGACAAAAACAGCCAAAGTCTCAAAATTCAAAGCCCCCTATATCCAAAAGCGCCAAAAAAGCACAATCTTCCTCAAAATCCAAATGACCTTTCCACCCAATTGGATGCTGGAATGTCCGGGGTTTTAATAGCCCCGAAAAAGTTATGGCCTGTAAAAATTTGATTAAGTCCCATCGTCTTGAAATGCTCTGTATTTTGGAGGCGAAGCTTTCTACGAATCCGGATTCTGACCACTGGTTTGCCCATTCTCATCATATTTTTCCCCATGAGAAGAGCTGTAACAATCTTTGCTCTTCTATCTCTGGGATAATTTGGCTTAAATGGAATGCAAATTGTGTTAACTTTAGACCCATCATCACCTCCTCCCAGTTAATACATGGAATTGTCTCTTTCTCATCTGATTCTCAGTTTCTCCTGTCTGTGGTTTATGCGGCCAACACACAATCTGATAGAACTTCTCCGTGGAATCAGCTAGCTTCTTTAGCTGATAGTATTTCCTCCCCGTGGCTGGTTATGGGAGATTTCAATTGTTTCAGAACTGTCAAAGAAAAATTAGGTGGGTTTCCACCACAGCATAGCCAACTCAATGAAATGAATAGCTGGAATTTCGACACCGGGCTCCTAGAACTGGCTTCTACTGGTTTAAATTTCACTTGGTTCAATCAGCGGGTGGCTGATCCTATTCATGTTAAATTGTATAGAATGTTGATTAATGTGGCTTGGTTGGAAGCTTTCCCCACTTCCTTTTACAATGTTGATGCTCCGATGTGTTCTGACCACTCACCCTTGCTTCTTTTCTCCGGAGCTCCCATGGCTGCAGGTGTGAGATTTTTATTCAAAAATTACTGGGTGAATATGGATGGCTATTGGGATATGGTTATTTCTGCCTTTGCTAAGCATTCTGCTGCTAGTCCTATTGTCAACTTGTACTATAAATTGAAATGTTTAAAAGGGCACCTGAAGAATCACAAGTGGAATAACTCATCATTTCTTAAGGATAAAATTGACTCGCTGATTTCTCAACAGAAAAATTGTCTTGATCTCATTAATTCCAACCCACTGGACATGACTCTTAATAATTCTCTCAAGCTCATCAATTCTTCTTTGATCAATTTCCAAAAGGCTTGGGCTTCCTGGACTATTCAGCGGGCTAAAGCCAAATGGCTGTCCCATGGGGAAGATGATTTGGAGTTTTTGTATGCCAGGAATAAGAGTAGAGGCAACATTAATCACATTAGGGAGATTACGACTCCGGATGGTCACTTTAACTCTCCAAGCACTGTGGCTCAAGCCTTGACTAGGCATTTTCAAGGGCTTTTTAATAGCCCGCATTCTCACTCCGGTAACATGAGGCTTATTCCTTATGGTTCCTCCATCCCTGCTAATCTTGCTGACTCCCTCATTGTTCCGGTTTTCGATAATGAGATCAAAGATGTGGTTTTTGCGGGTGCCTCCACATCCTCCCTGGGCTGGATGGCTTCACCTTTCATTTCTATAAAATTTCTTGGAATATTATCGGTCACTATATTTGTTAGGCTGTTAAAAATTATTTTGCTACCGGGATTCTTCCTACCTATGCTAAAGCTACTGATCTTGTCCTTATCCCCAAACATCCTCACGCCTCCAACATTAATGCTTTTAGATCCATCTCACTTTGTAACACTTTTTATAAAATCATTGCTAAGATTTTGGCTAATAGGATGAAAGGTATCATGCCTCTTATTATTAATGAAAGTCAAGCGGGCTTTATTCATAAAAGGTTGGCCTCCGATCACATCATTTTGGCTTCCAAAATTCTTAGAGATTTAACTTGGGGACTTCCAAAGACTATTTCTGTGCTAAATTGGACATAAAAAAGGCTTTCGATACGGTCTCTAGAGAATTACTTTTGAATAGGATGGAGGTGAAAGGTTTTCCATCTAAGTTCATTTCTTGGATCAAAGGTTGTATCCTGGATGTCCCTTTCTCTATTTGTGTTAATGGTGTTATGGAGGGCTATTTTAACTCTACTACTAGGTTGCGTCAAGGTTTCTCCCTATCTCCACTGCTGTTTGCCATTGTCATGGACGCCTTCTCTTGTGCCTTAGATGAGGGCTCCTTTCAGGGAATTTCTAGAGGCAATTCTGTGTACAACCACCTTCTCTATGTTGATGACGTGTTGGTTTTTGGCCCGACTACCATTTCCAATGCTCATGCTCTTAATAATACTCTGAACATCTTTGATGAACATGCTGGGCTTTACATAAACAAAAATAAATGTTTTATCATTATCTCTTGTAACCCCAACCTTGCTTTGGATATCAATGCCATTCTCGGCTATTCCCTTTCGGTTGAATCTCTGAAATATCTTAGGCTTCCCATTGCTATCAAGAACTATCTTCTTCTCACTTCCAACCACTACTGAGTAGGATTTCTACTCTACTTGCTGGTTGGAAAGTTAAGTTTTTGTCTTTTGCAGGTAGGATTCAGTATATGAAATTTACTATTGCCAACACTATAGCTTAATGGATTAGAGGAGCGATTCTACCCAAAGGTTGTTGTAAACAAATCGACAAATTATGCTCTAAGTTCTTATATCATGGCTCTTCCACTGAGAAAAAACTTCACCTAATTGCATGGCATAAAACCTGTATACCTACTTGCTTTGGGGGATTAGGCATACAGGATATCCAATGTCTTGCTTTTGCTCATGGTTGCAACCTCATCTGGAGATTCTATAATCAGCATTCTTTGCTCTTCTCTTGGTTAAGAAGCAAATATAATTCTCCTTACAAGCCTCCTCAGGCCAATGCTTCCAAATTTTGGAAAGGCATTTGTTCTATTGCCAATCATATTAAAAACCTTTTTAAGTTTCAGGTGATAAAGAATTCCTGCAATCTTTCCATGTTTTGGGACCCGTGATTGAACCATCAAACTCTTGCTAGCTTAATGTCTCATAGTCCTGCTGGTTTTGTGAGTGTTAATTTGTTTATTTATGAGGGATGTTGAAATTTCACTGAGGTTGTTTCACCTGAGCTGTCCCAGGCTATTATGGCTATTCCTGTTTCTGATGGCCCTAGTTGTATTACTTGGCTCGGGAGGGCGTGCCATGCTTCAAAACCTTTAAAATGGTTTACTATTCTAATCTTACCAAAGTTAGCTGGTATAATTTTATTTGGCATAAAAGAGCGGCTTTAAGGTATTCGGCTTATGCTTGGTTAGCCGTGATGAGGGGGCTTAAAACTGTGGAGGTGCTGGCTATTCGGAACATTTTCATTCCCCCTATTTGCCCTTTATGCAATGCTGAACATGAAAGCATAAATCATCTTTTCTTTCAATGTGATTTTTCAATTCAGATTTTACAAATGCTTTTACCTAGCACGCAGGCATTCCTTTAAGACCGAATCTGATGCAGCTTCTGGAATTTTTTGAGGGAGATCAAGGGCTTAACTCACAATAAAAGAATTTTTGTTATTTTGTTGTTTGCTTTATTTCATATGGCGAGAACGTAATGATAGGAGATTTTTGAGGAAACTTTGCTGTCCTATCACCATCTATTACAGAAGCATTTCTGCCATTTTGTCCAAGGCCAGATTTTGGAAGAATTTTGATACTCTATGCAGCACCTATCCTCAATGCTTCTCTCGCCAATTTTAATTCTGGGAAGGTTATTGGTATGTCCCCTGGCAATGATGAGCCGGACTGGGTTGTCGCCTACTACCCTGGATGGCCTCGTTATCTTCTTGGCTTCTTCCAGTACTTGGCCTGGCTTTCTGCACCCTACTGGATATTCCTATGGATTATTGATGGCAACCGGGTTCCTATATGAAGGCTTTGAGTGGCTTCGGTGATTTGTTTGCCTTCTCCCAGTCTGTTTTTTTCTGAGCCTTGTTGGAGACATCTTTGTTTTTGTTCTGGACTTATAATTTTTTATTTCAGCTCATAGTTTACTTGTAAATATTTTGAGTTGGATAGTTTCTTCTTGTAACCTATTTTTTTGATCAATATACGGGCTAAGCCCCAAAATTTCCCAAAAAAAAAAAGATTCTTATTAGAGAAGATATAAAATTTACAATCATTAATTCAAAACACTTTTATTGAATATTACATTCAATATTTTTACTATTTCATTCAGTCATAGAATCTCCACAAATATCATTTTTATTTGAGTAGTATAATTATTATAATTATAGTAAATTATAGTAGTTTTTTGCAAGTAAGCATATTTCCTGGTGGGTTTAACACTCTACTATATTACATTAAAATTTGATTCAACAAGTATACTTGCATATATTAAGTGAGGTTTTGTTATTTTTATATCAAAAAAAACTTAAACATTATTTAGGGGTGATAGAGCCCTAGACTTCTATACAATTCAAAAATTCACTCCACAACCACCATCATGTTTTTTTGCACCGTTGTCAGGGACGTATTTTTTTTATTTTAACTATATTGTTGAATTAATTTCATAATTAGACCTACTTATATCTTTTATTTTATTTATTTTCTTTTCACCTTGCATATTCATAATTGAATGCTTTATAGACATAGAAATGAACATTGGTTATTTTACTCTGAAATAAAAGGAACCCTTTCAAAAATTTTAAAAACTAAGAAAATTACTGAACCTTACTAGATCTAGATCATTAGAGATCTCTTAGGGATTATGCTAACTTTAATAGATGGAATTCATCAAACCATTAATAGACCTACAATTCAAGCTAATAATTTTGAATCAAAACCTTTTATAATTCCAATGGTTCAAAATTCTCAATTTTGGGAAATTCATGTTGAAGATCCCAATTTACACTTATCCAGTTTCTAGAGATTTATGTTATATTTAAGTACAATGGAGTCAATAATGATGCTATTAGACATTGATTGTTCTCATTTTCTCTAAGAGATAAAGCTAAGATGTGATTAAATTCCTTACCCAATGCTCTATAACCACTTGAAATGAGTTAGCTTATAAGTTTTTTGCTAAGTACTTTCTACCTTTAAAAACTACTAAACTTATAAATGATATCACTTATTTCACCCAGTTTCATGGAGAATCAATTTATGAGAGTTGAGAGTTTTTAAAAAAATACTTATGAAATGCCCTCACCATGCTTTACTTGATTGGTTGGTTATTCAAATATTTTATAATAGATTATCTTGACTACAAAAGTTACAGTAATTTCTTAGAAATTAATTAACTTGAAAGTTAGAACTAGGATAGATGGGTATGATAATGTAAACAAAGATCCTAAAAATTTAAGTTATGTAGCATTACAATGTTATAACTTTGATTCTGAACAACTCCATCATGACAGGATTGGGAAGATACCGTTGAAAAATATTATTATACAACTAGGAATCCAATTGCAGAATTAATCACTGCTCTTAGAAAAATTAAGGATCAATTAGGGTATCTTGCTAGGTTGATTAATTATAAAAAATTGGAAGAATAATGTTATAATATCCAACTTTGAAGTGGAAAAGATTTGGGAGACCCTTACAAAGATAAAGATCTACCTCAAAAGAATGATGTTGAAGATGAAGAAGTAGAAAGTAAATCTATAATTGAACAATCTAACCCTATAAAAGATCGTGAAAATTTAATTAGGAAGATTATAGAGAGACCACCACCACCTTTTCCTCATAGGTTAATCAAACAAAATCTTGACAGATAGTTTTCAAAGTTCTTAGAAGTGTTTAAAAAATTAGCCATTAATATACCATTTTTTGAAGCTTTAGAACATATGCCCACATATGTCAAATTTATGAAGGATATTTTGAAAAAGAAAAGGAATCTATAAGAATTTAAAATAGTATCATTAATAAAAAAGAATAATGCTATAATTCAAAAGAGACTTCCTAAAAATCTTTAAGATTCTGAGAGTTTTATAATCCTTTTAACTATTGGTGAAAAATTATGTGGAGAGCCTTATGTGATTTAGGATCTAATATCATCCTAATGCAACTCTAAATATTAAAAAAATGAGATATATGAGTGATTCAACCTACTTTTGTTACTCTTTAGTTGGATGATATATCTTTCACTTACCCAAGAGGGGTAATAGAAGATGTTTTGAATAAAGTTGTAAATTAATTTTTCCTATTGATTGTATTATTCTAGATATGGAAGATTTTTTTTTAGGGGAAACCTAGAAAGGGGCCTACGCTTTGATTAAGGTAAAATCGTACAAGGTCCTAAGGGGACCTCAAGCTCACTACCGCTCAAAGAGCTACAAAAGTAAAGAAAAGAAATACCCAGGAGCTTGAGTTCCCCACTAAAGATCAGTACAAGAAACCCTATGTACATGCTACAATGCTTAAGAGAAAGCACCCAAAAATTAGGAGCTAGCAAAAAGTATCCAAAATGCTCCCAACAACCAAACCCCATGGCGACCTTGCAATCAACCATCCAATAAATAACCTTAAAAAAAAGGCTGATATGAAAGAAAGATATAGCAGTAATATGAGCTAAACAAAATATGAGGGAAGTCCAGAAGAAAAATAACAAGAATATTAGTATAATTAACAAAAGGAACATAGGGAGGCAAACTAACCACCTGATTAGGTTCCCCCACAACAGCAAAATAGAGAAGATACTCAGAAAAACAATGATAGAACAATGCTAAATTAACAAAATTCTAGAATAACCAACTACCATAGCCTAACTCCACCCAAAAAGGATATAGCCAGAAGCAGTCACCAATGCTCTCACCATAAAGCCCAAGCAAGGAAAGCAGCATCAATAAGATAAAAATAGCCCAGGAAGAAAACTGGAACACCAGGCCGCAGAAAAGAAAGTAAAAAGAGAACATCCACAACCTGCACCCCAACAAAATCCCAAACAAAGGCACAAAAAAAACCCTGCAATAGCTTAAAAACACCCAACCAAACCACCTAGTCATATAACAGATACAACCACAACCTACACATAGCAGAATCCTAGGCAGAGGCACAAAATAACCCTGCAACAGCTGAAGCACACCCCTCCAAACCATATAGTAATACTACATAAGAAAGAAGAAAGCTCAGCTAGATAAAAAAGAACCATAATAACACCACCAGATAAAACCCAAAAAGGACTCGAAACAGCAATGCAACAATAAACCAAACCGAGAAGCTGCAAGAATTCCCCACTGCAACCAAAGAGAGGAACCCCTTAGCCAAAAAAAGAAAATCGAACCACCAAAATTAAAGCTTAACATAAGATAAACTAATTTGATCCATCCTTAAAAGGCCTTTAATGAAAACAAGCTGTTGAGAAAAGGAAAATTCAGTCAATCCATTAAAATCACAACACATATTGGCCATTGCTTGCGCACACGCATTCCCCTCATCCAAATTGATAGAAAAGGAGCAATTAAGAGAGTTAAGGATCTCCCTAATGTCCCTCCTAATGTAAAGCAGAGCAGAGGAACAAATGTTATCATCATTAACATAAAGCAAATTGAAATCAAAGTAAGAACCAATCTCCAGAATAGTATTAATTTGAGAGAGGTTAGCACAGAGGTTTAATCCATGAAGCATAGCAATGTAAAGAGCAATATTAATATCACCATTAGTAACAGGCCCAGCAAAACCCAAGATGAAAGTGTCATTATGATCTCTAATAAGGCCACCACAACCTACAATATCACCCAGTTTAGCATTGGCAACATTTAACTTACAAGAGTTAGGGAGAGGCTAACTCCAACTAATGCACCTCGTCTCCTTATGCAACTTGTCCACCTCCATGTTAATACCAAAAGTAGGGAAAGCAAATAAAAACTTCTTAAAATGCCTAACCGGGAGTAAATTAGCAGAATAAAGGGAAACCACTTTATCCTTAACTTTATGGATAATTCTTTGATGATTCATAACAACGCCATTAAAACAAGAATCATTTCTCTCCAGCCAAAGGTACCAAAGGATAAGAGAGGGAATAATATTTCTGACATGGCCTTTAGACTTAACAAACCAACAATCAAGCAAATAGTAAATAGAACTCCTAACATTAAAAAAATTAAGAAAATAGGACCAAATCTTAACAGATATAGGATCATATATGAAAACATGATGCATATTGTCAACATGATAATAACATTGGCATTTAGAAGGAAAAATAAAACCTCTTTTCCTTAAATTCTCATCTGTAGTAATAAGCTTGTGAAGCATTCTCCAAATAAAGACTGAAACCGTAGAGGGGACACTTTTGTGCCAAATCATTTTAAGAAGCTTAGAAGGCTTATTTTTGGATCTAAAGGAGTTCTAAGCATCCTTAATTCTAAAGGATCCATCTTTAGTAAAAGTAAAGAGAAATACATCCTTAGAGTTAATGTTAAGAGGAATCTTTAAGATAAGCTAAATAATAAAGTTAGGGAGAACAACAGAAAGCTTCTCCAAATCCCAACCATAATTAGAGAAAAAATAGTTAACCTTAACCTTAGCTATTGAGACAGAGTTTAATAAAAAATCAATCGACTGACCATTCAACCACTGATCTTGCCAAAAGAAAATATTTCCATTACTAAGAACCCACACTAAAGAAGGCTCCACCTTCCATTTAATCAAGCAAAGCCGTTGCCAAACTGTAGAGTGGCCTTTAGCAAAAATACACATGGAAGGATGTCTCCCCCACAATACTTGACCATCATAAAATTAGCCCAAAGGATCACATTGGACCTAAGATTATACCAAAGTTTGCAAGAAAAAGCGGAGGCCATGTCAAACATAGTCTTACACCCTAAAGCCCCTTCTTGCAAAGTCCCACAACATTTTCTCTATGAAGACTAATCAATCTTAGAATTGTTACCAGTACCTTTCCAAAAGAATATATTAGAAATTCTATCAATTCTATGGCACCCATTCTTAGTAGAAAAAAGGGTTTGAAAACTACAGATCGAAATAGAGCAAAGAACACTTTTAATGAGAATAAGACGACCACCAAAGCTTAAGAAGTTAGAATCCCAAGAACTGCTCAAACTTTTAAATAGAAATACCCAAAAAATAAATCATCAAAAAGAAAAAAACTTTTTCTGCCTTTATAAAGAGGAAAACCCAGATAATTTCTTGTAAAACACATTGATTAAAACCAGTAGGATTATTAATATCCATAACACGATCAGAAGAAACATTTTTAGCAACAATAAAATAGCATTTATGCTTATTAAAGGCTAAACCACTAACCGATTCAAATTGATCAAAAAAGCTCAAAATTTTGTTTACCTTATTCCTCGAAGCATTTGAAAACACAATGAAATCGTCAGTAAAGAATAAATGAGAAATTTGAAGACCTCCTAAAGTTATGAAATATTGACTAGGACATTTATTAAAAAGATCAACAAGGCCCCTAGAAAGATAATCCACAACAATAATAAAGTGCACAGGGGAGATGGGATCCCCTTACCTAAGGCCATGAGAAGCCATGAAGAAACCATGGCTCTTACCATTCACAATAATGAAAAAAAAGGCTTTCAATACAAGTATTAATGAGCTTGATGAAATTATAATAAAAAACAATAAACTTAAGATTTTGTAAATAAAATTCTAGTTAATATTATCATAAGCCTCAGCAATATCCAGTTTCATAATCATATTACCACCTCTAACCTTGACATCAAAGTCTTAACAAAATTCCTAAGCCAACAAAGATATTATCAGCAATGGCACGACCTTTATCAAATCCCATTTGAAAAGGGAGATATAAGCTTAGGTAATAAAGCAGTTAATCGATTCATCAAGATTTTAGTGAGCTATTTATAAAAAATAGTACACAAACTAATAGGCCTAAAGTCATTCCAAGAATTCACAGCATTGTTCTTCTGAATAAGCATAATAGAAGTAGAGGAAAAAAATTTCGGAATAGGATTACCATTAAAAAAAATTAGTGACAGCAAAGAAAATATAATTAAAAATAATAGGCCACATTTTTTGAAAGAACTTAGTTTTAAAACCATTCGGGCCAGCCACAGAATCCCCATTCATACCAAATAAAGTCTCTTTAATCTCTTCAAGAGAAGAAAATTTAAATAAACCATAGTTATCCTCTTGAGAAATAATATTATGAATAATGGACGGGTTAGTAATAATAGTAAGGTTAAAATATTTATTAAGATGGTTTTGAAAAAAATTAACAGCCA